AGGAGCTCATCCCTGCCTCTAGCTGCCTTAGGGGCCTGTTTCCAGCACAGAGGGAGGGGTTGTTTTTTCCTAGTAACCTGTGCTTGCCTGTTACCCTGAGTCAGTAATGATCCCATAGGTGGCAAAGGGGGAATTGTGCACAGAGAGAGCCAGAGCGAAGCTGGGAGGCTTTGCAGATTCCAGCCTGGAGAGCCTGAGAGGTGTTGCGGAAGCGCCGAGCCCTGTGTTGCCCCAAGTTTAACCACCTGGAGCTGCCTGGCTGAGCACTGGTTGGGCTGTGCCAAAAACATGTCTGGGTTTGCTGTCACAGTTCAGTAGTGTTGGTCACTGTGTCTCCGTGTTGGAAGCTGGTTTGTGTCTTAGTACAGACACCCAGTCTCTGCCAGTGGGTGGTGCCTGTGGCCCTGCTGTAGTGAAGAAGGCAGCCAGGAAAGCTGGTGGGACCCAGCAAGTGACCCCCTCCGCGTCCTCGGGGCTCACCACCTCCTTCCTTCTCAGCTCTCCATGGAGACACCCCAGTTCCTACCTCCTACCCCGTCAGGGCCCCCACAGGAGCTGCCCCCGAGCAAGCAGGGGTTGTGCTCCTATAACACCAGTTGCTCAATGCAGCTGCTGCTCGGGAAAGCCCTGACACATCCCCCCTGGGACACCGTGGGCTGCAGGTCAGTGCTGGAGGTGGCAGGGACAGGACAGAACTCTCCTATGGCAGGGGGAGCTGGACAGTCTCTAGCAGAAGGGGTGAGCTGTGTGCGGAGCTGAAATACTTTCCCTATGCTGCGTTGCAGGCTCTGAAGTGTGGCACCCGATCTGCAAGCAGGCAGCCAGAGCAGAGAAGAAGCTAAAGGTAAGCAGCAGGGTGAGGGGCATCTCTGAGAGGTGACATGTCCCAGGTGATCTTGTCCCTGAGTTCAGGCTAGAGGTGAACTATTGTGCCAGTGTCCAAGCCCAGGGTGGCTTCCTGAGGCTGACACGAGCTCTGTCCCCGCTGCCCGGGGAATGGCAGGTGGCCGTGGCCGAGGCTGGTGGTGGGGACCTGCCTGCTGGCTGGCACCAGCCCGTTCCACAGCCAGGGAGGGGGCACAGCAGTGCCCTCACCAACCTCTTGCACCCCTCAAGCTGTTGCTCCCTCTCTGTGCCCGTCTGGCCACAGGGACAGCTGCCTGCTGGGTCTTGCCAGACCACTTGCCTTGCTCCAGATCTGGCCCCAAGAGAGGCCAGGGTGCAGAGCATTGCAGGGCAGCCTGCAGCAGCTGTGGGCACTGGCAGCAAGCGCGTGGAAGGGCAGAGGAAATGAGTGAAATCCAGCCCCCAAAACTATGATTTGCTTGCTACAAACACCATTGTGCCTGCTCAGGGGTCCTTCCTCTCCATGCTCTCACCTGTCCTCTGCTTTCCTGCCTCCACAGCACAGAAGGACATCAGAAACCTCCATCTCACCACCCGGTTCCAGCATTGGCTCCCCAAACCGCGTCATCTGCGTAAGTACAGCTCAGCCCCTCATCCATGTGGGCAGGATGGATGTTCTGGCCCCAGGGAAGGGAGCGGCTGTTCCCGGTGCTGCTCTGCAGTGTGAGGCATCCCCTGCAGGCAAGCCCAGCGTTTTGCGACAGCACAGACAAGCTGTGCCTGCTCACCCCAGTGACATAGCATGCTGCCAGTGCCATTGGCACCGACTAGGAGCGCTCAGAGGAGCACAGTCCCACCCACCCAGCTCCTCTGCCCCTTCTCACTGCTGCCTCTCGGGCATCTCCTCTTCCCTCTTCCTATTGCTGGGGTGACGGTGGGCTCTGCTCTGTGCTGACTGGCTCTGCACTGTGCACTCCAGTCTCCCTTCCTTCCCTCCTCCTCTTCCTTTCCATCTCTCTGTCTCTGTCTCTCCGTCTCCTTAGGCTAAAGTGGATAATGAGATCCTTAATTACAAAGACCTGGCAGCTCTTCCCAAGATTAAAGCCATCTACGAAGTGCAGCGTCCTGACCTCATTTCATACGAGCCCTATCACAGATACACATCGGATGAGACGCTGGAGAGATATAGCTATGGGGAGGTACTGAGCCTTTCTGTGCCCAATGCTGGACTGTGCAGGGAGCTGGGTCCTGATTCGGAGCATCAGGAGAACTGCTTGGGGAATACTGCAGGAGGCAGGAGCTGGGGAGAGGGACTGGGCTGGAAGAGAAATTTTGCTGCTGCTGGTGTAGAGTAAGAAAGAAACAGGCGACCTTATCACGGCTGGCGTCAGCGCCCTGCCCACACTCTGCCACAGACCCGACAGGGACAGACAGTGCTGCATGAGAGGAGATGTCACCCTGGGGAGCGAAGTGGCAGGGAGCTCACCCATCGCACCCCACAGCAGGAGAGGAGGAGGGCACACAACACGTGCACATGTCTCTAGGGTGCAGGGACAGAGAACCAGCAGCCTGGCCCATGGCAGGCAGTTTCCCTGGCCACCCAGCCTCAGCGTGGCATCTCTGGAGCACTACAGGGCTGCCCCGTTTGGGTGTTGGCCCTGCAGCCAAGGAGAGAGAGCTTGGTCCATGTGTTTTTGCAAGCACTTGATGAGATGATGCTCAGGCACAAGACTGCCCTGTCCTGGCCCTCCCAGCAGGCTGGGGCTGCTGGGTCTCAGTAAGTCTGTAGAAGAAGAGGGTCTGAGCAGCTCACTCAGAGAGGCGGGACCTGAGTCCTGGAAGAGGACAGCAGCATCTCTTAA